TACAGAAAGTTAGGGGGGTATCAGAAAATAATTTAGTGACAGACATTGAAATTCAAAAAGTTAACATTTTACAACAATTAAATTGTCAAAATCACATCAAAATATACAAATAAATATCCTTAAATCTAATTCTAATAAATTCTCAAGCAGCATTTTTCTAACTTTGCCTACGTGTAAATTTTGATTATTATCAATGGAAATATTTTTGTCTGTGTATGTACAGTGAAAATCAATGTTTACAGATAGTTACCAAAAAAATCTAATCCTTCCAAGTCTAATTATATTTACATTCACTTTAAGGATACTTTATACTGTCAGTGTGGTGTGAAGGGCTGTAATGTAAATGAAACTCAGACTCACTGTGTAGTGTACACATGAGCTCCTTTTCGCAAAGTTTGTCCCTCCTCCTGTCATGGGCTTCCATTAATTTTTGTTTATTGCCTGTGACCTGTCCATGACTATTACTAAAAATACCTGTGACAAAATCAAATTCTTATGCATAAAGCCCAAAGTGTTGTTAAATTTTATTAATAAATATTTAGATAACAGCTAACTCACACTCTGGAAGCAAGCCCCAGATCCAAATTTACTGTGTCAATTTACATCTCCCATCTAACTAACTACGAAAAAGATCTCCAAATAACTGTACAAATTCCAGTAATATGGTATGTTGTGAGTTTTCTATTTAATGGATTGAAGAAAACAAGAACAAATATATTTTACCTCTGCTAACAGGGCGCAGGGTTACAATTTTGAACTCTTTCAAAAAAGGAAGTATTTCAGAGGCATAGGCTTGAGACAAATTAATTGACATCTGTGGGGAATGAAGAGGGGATTTGGAATGGAAAATGTAATATTTATGTTGAATCATAGGATCAGAAAAAACAAGCTTTTGCTTGCTACTGGTTTTCTTTTTATAACAGAGGGCAAATGGGGGCACCATCCATTATCACTGACTTCCGTGGGATTTTGTATCAGCACTTAAGGTTATGTCTTCACTGCAAAAAAAAAAAAATGTGTATTTTTACATCAAGATAGCTATCTTCATGCAAAACCCTAGTGTAGACAAGGCATAAGAAGTCTTCATGTCAATGTAGCTAGTCAAAATCAACCTCTAACCCCCCCCACACACACCTGGAATTTTTAATTAGTTGATAAATCACAGATGGAGGATATAGTGTTGACTTCAACTACACTGAGGTAAAACTACATGTGCCTTGTCTACACTAGGACTTTACATCAAGATAGCTATCTCAAGTTTTCTATGTTAATATAAAAAACATACCTTTTTTGCAGTGAAGATATTCCCAAGAGCCATTTAGTAGATGTCTATACAATACAAATCATAACACAAGTAGGAATGACTACTGTTAATGTAGAAAAGGGTGTAATATAGGAGGAGGTGATTATAAGCACTAGGAAATTAAAATCCTTAGATCCAGCATGGAGGTGATATAAACATACCATTAGAGGTAAGAAATACAGTATAACTAAATTGCAAGGTTCAAGAGGGTTATTCAGGCCAAACAAGTATAATTACAAAAATGGAAATCCAACACTAGTGGAGCTTAAGGCAATACATAAAATGGAAATTAGGGGGGTTAAAATGGAATTTGAAGAGCAAAAAGCCAAAGATATAAAAACCAAGAAAATATTCAGTATATCAGGCATTGGATCTCTGCAAGAGAATTGGTAGTTCTGTTGTTGTCCGGCTATACCGAAAGAAGGACAGGAGACACTGGATATAGTTTTAATTAGGCTGCAACTTTACTATTTGCTGTAAAACTGTACAGTGCGGGAAACCCCCCCCCCCACCACCACCACACACACACATACCCATAAAGCATCCTCTCCCTCAGCAAGCCAGACAACACCCCCCTCACCCCTGCTTAAAGGTGTGGTGCGGTCAAACTAACAAGTCAAGGGGACAAAAAAGGAGAATAACAACATTGCAGGTAAGCTAACTGACTTATATGCATCAGTCTTCACTATAGCTGACATTGGGGAAATACCTCCCCTGGACATAGTTTTTCAGGTAATAAAGGTGAGGTAGTATCTGACTGAAATATCAAAAGAAGGACTAAAACAAATTGATAAATTAAGGAGGAACAAGTTACAATGCTCAGATAGAACAGGAGTACTTGTGGCACCTTAGAGACTAACAAATTTATTGTTGAAAGAACTTAAGAAAGAAGTGGCTGAGTTGCTAACAAAAATAAACAATCTCTTACTAAAATCAACTGCTATACAGGAGAGCTGCAAGATAGCAAATGTTCTACCTATTTTTAAGGCACAAGTGGTGATCTTGGGAATCACAGACAAGTGGGACTTACTTCAGTACCAGGTAAACTGGTTGAAACAATCATTAAAAGCAGAATTATAATATACCTAGATGATCATGATATGCTAGGGACAAAGAAAAATAGCTTCTGATAAGGAGAAAAAAAAGCCTCACTACTTACTATTAGAATTTTCTAAACACATCAACAAAATAGTATGTAAAGGAGAACTGATTTACATCATTTACTTGGATATACACAAAACTTTTGTCAAAGACTTATTAATGATCTGTAACACGCAGGAAGTAGCGAGGTGGCAAAACTTGCAGACAACAAAAAAATTATTTTGGTTAGTAAAATCTACAGACAATTGTGAGTAACTTCAGAGGGACCTATCAAAGATGTATAAATGGACAGCAGATGTATTTCAGTGTTGATAAATGCAAAGTGATGCATATTTGAAGGAAAAATCTGAACTATTCATAAACTTTACTGGTTTCATAGAATCATAGAATATCAGGGTTGGAAGGGACCTCAGGAGGTCATCTAGTCCAACCCCCTGCTCAAAGCAGGACCAATCCTGTAACTGTAACAGTTTAGGAAAGACCTAGGTGTAACTGCGTCAATGAACACCTCTGCTCAATGTAGGGTGGATGGATTTAAACTGAAATGATTTAAATCACCAAATTTTAAATCATGATTTAAAACAAGCAGGAAACCTTGATTTAAATAATTTATTTTCATATTCTTTTGCATTTGTACATTTTAGTTACTTTCCTAAACTAAAAATGTTGATTCTCATTGGTTGGTAATGGTTAAAACTTGTTGATTTGCAACTAAATATAACCTTTACACTCATTTTGGTACTTCTTTTTGCTAACCAACAGGATATGCTATATCTATACATCTTTATTTAAGCAATTACATAGTTTAATACACATTTATTCAGATTCTTAATTTTTAGATTTTATAAATTATGTTAGGAAATGGAGAATGATGCATTTCTTATTTACTAGATGATGTTTACTTTTTTTACTCACAATTTGTGTAAAGCATTTGGATGGAAATAGAAATTCAATTAAAAATGCACAAAAACAGCATTTTCAAAAAAAATGTATTAGTTAAATAAAATTACCTTAAATGTGTGGGATATGTAAGGGGGGGGAAAACATTTATCAAAACATGTTTTGCATTTGAAAACTAACTGATTTAGTGAACAAAGGAAGTGCTACAGGATGCATGCCCCACACCCTGCATGTTACTATGCAAGCTGTCCTCACACACTCCTGTGTAGTTTCACCACAGTGTGCTTTATTTACAATGTCTTGTATAGTTTTGTGTCCCCACAGCATAAGACTTTCCCCAAGCTTCACCCTACTTCCTATACATAGGGCTGGGGGATTCCCACCTGTCTAAGATCCTGGGCTTCGTTGCCCTTCCTTTTCCTTACGCCTTCCTGTCTCCCTTTTAACCGACCCCAGCTGATGAGCTGGATTCCCTTGTTAACTGGTTAATCAACCAGTCTTTAATCAATTATCTCCCAATTTAGCCCATGGGAGGAAGCTTACAAACTGATGAGTCAGCCTTAGGCTATTCCTACTCTGTCATAGGAAGCATTAGGCTTATTTTGTTGCTCTTTTGACCAGAAGGTTGACAATTGACATTTGGTCACCGGCTGGACATTAGTCATGGTTTCTCACTTAACAGGGTGGATCACATGACGATCATCATTTTCCACCCAAAATATGGACTGGCAACTACATAAAACAGGAGATCAACAAATATGTGATTCTACCTCCTACAGCACACAAAGAACCAATTGCAATCTCTGTGTGCATCAGCACGCTAACCATCATTAA